AGAGTAGTCCTACTGTACCTGTTGTGAGCCTTCCGAGAGTAGTCCTACTGCACCTGTTGTGAGCCTTCCTAGAGCAGTTCTACAGCACCTGTTGTGAGCCGTCCTAGAGCAGTTCTACTGCACCTGTTGTGAGCTGTCCTAGAGTAGTCCTACTGTACCTGTTGTGAGCCGTCCTAGAGCAGTCCTACTGTACCTGTTGTGAGCCGTCCTAGAGCAGTTCTACAGCACCTGTTGTGAGCCGTCCTAGAGCAGTTCTACTGCACCTGTTGTGAGCCATCCTAGAGTAGTCCTACTGTACCTGTTGTGAGCCTTCCGAGAGCAGTCCAACTGCACCTGTTGTGAGCCTTCCTAGAGCAGTTCTACTGCACCTGTTGTGAGCCATCCTAGAGTAGTCCTACTGTACCTTTTGTGAGCCTTCCGAGAGCAGTCCTACTGCACCTGTTGTGAGCCGTCCTAGAGCAGTCCTACTGCACCTGTTGTGAGCCATCCTAGAGCAGTCTTACTGTACCTGTTGTGAGCCATCCTAGAGCAGTTCTACAGCACCTGTTGTGAGCCTTCCGAGAGCAGTCCTACTGCACCTGTTGTGAGCTGTCCTAGAGAAGTCCTACTGTACCTGTTGTGAGCCGTCCTAGAGCAGCCTACTGCACCTGTTGTGAGCCGTCCTAGAGCAGTTCTACTGCACCTGTTGTGAGCCATCCTAGAGTAGTCCTACTGTACCTGTTGTGAGCCTTCTGAGAGCAGTCCTACTGCACCTGTTGTGAGCTGTCCTAGAGCAGTCCTACTGCACCTGTTGTGAGCCATCCTAGAGCAGTCTTACTGTACCTGTTGTGAGCCGTCCTAGAGCAGTTCTACAGCACCTGTTGTGAGCCGTCCTAGAGTAGTCCTACTGCACCTGTTGTGAGCCGTCCTAGAGCAGTCCTACTGTACCTGTTGTGAGCCGTCCTAGAGCAGTTCTACAGCACCTGTTGTGAGCCTTCCTAGAGCAGTTCTACAGCACCTGTTGTGAGCCGTCCTAGAGCAGTTCTACTGCACCTGTTGTGAGCTGTCCTAGAGTAGTCCTACTGTACCTGTTGTGAGCCGTCCTAGAGCAGTCCTACTGTACCTGTTGTGAGCCGTCCTAGAGCAGTTCTACAGCACCTGTTGTGAGCCGTCCTAGAGCAGTTCTACTGCACCTGTTGTGAGCCATCCTAGAGTAGTCCTACTGTACCTGTTGTGAGCCTTCCGAGAGCAGTCCAACTGCACCTGTTGTGAGCCTTCCTAGAGCAGTTCTACTGCACCTGTTGTGAGCCATCCTAGAGTAGTCCTACTGTACCTGTTGTGAGCCGTCCTAGAGCAGTTCTACTGCACCTGTTGTGAGCCATCCTAGAGTAGTCCTACTGTACCTTTTGTGAGCCTTCCGAGAGCAGTCCTACTGCACCTGTTGTGAGCCGTCCTAGAGCAGTCCTACTGCACCTGTTGTGAGCCATCCTAGAGCAGTCTTACTGTACCTGTTGTGAGCCATCCTAGAGCAGTTCTACAGCACCTGTTGTGAGCCTTCCGAGAGCAGTCCTACTGCACCTGTTGTGAGCTGTCCTAGAGAAGTCCTACTGTACCTGTTGTGAGCCGTCCTAGAGCAGTTCTACTGCACCTGTTGTGAGCCATCCTAGAGTAGTCCTACTGTACCTGTTGTGAGCCTTCCGAGAGCAGTCCTACTGCACCTGTTGTGAGCTGTCCTAGAGCAGTCCTACTGCACCTGTTGTGAGCCATCCTAGAGCAGTCTTACTGTACCTGTTGTGAGCCGTCCTAGAGCAGTTCTACAGCACCTGTTGTGAGCCGTCCTAGAGTAGTCCTACTGCACCTGTTGTGAGCCGTCCTAGAGCAGTCCTACTGTACCTGTTGTGAGCCGTCCTAGAGCAGTTCTACAGCACCTGTTGTGAGCCATCCTAGAGTAGTCCTACTGCACCTGTTGTGAGCCGCCCTAGAGCAGTCCTACTGTACCTGTTGTGAGCCGTCCTAGAGCAGTTCTACAGCACCTGTTGTGAGCCATCCTAGAGCAGTTCTACTGCACCTGTTGTGAGCCATCCTAGAGAAGTCCTACTGTACCTGTTGTGAGCCTTCCGAGAGCAGTCCTACTGCACCTGTTGTGAGCTGTCCTAGAGCAGTTCTACTGCACCTGTTGTGAGCCATCCTAGAGTAGTCCTACTGTACCTGTTGTGAGCCGTCCTAGAGCAGTTCTACTGCACCTGTTGTGAGCCATCCTAGAGTAGTCCTACTGTATCTGTTGTGAGCCTTCCGAGAGCAGTCCTACTGCACCTGTTGTGAGCCATCCTAGAGCAGTCTTACTGTACCTGTTGTGAGCCGTCCTAGAGCAGTTCTACAGCACCTGTTGTGAGCCATCCTAGAGTAGTCCTACTGCACCTGTTGTGAGCCGTCCTAGAGCAGTCCTACTGTACCTGTTGTGAGCCGTCCTAGAGCAGTTCTACAGCACCTGTTGTGAGCCATCCTAGAGTAGTCCTGCTGCACCTGTTGTGAGCCGTCCTAGAGCAGTCCTACTGCACCTGTTGTGAGACGTCCTAGAGCAGTTCTACTGTACCTGTTGTGAGCCGTCCTAGAGCAGTCCTACTGTACCTGTTGTGAGCCGTCCTAGAGCAGTTCTACTGCGCCTGTTGTGAGCCGTCCTAGAGCAGTCCTACTGCACCTGTTGTGAGCCATCCTAGAGCAGTCTTACTGTACCTGTTGTGAGCCATCCTAGAGCAGTTCTACAGCACCTGTTGTGAGCCTTCCGAGAGCAGTGCTACTGCACCTGTTGTGAGCTGTCTTAGAGTAGTCCTACTGTACCTGTTGTGAGCCGTCCTAGAGCAGTCCTACTGCACCTGTTGTGAGCCGTCCTAGAGCAGTTCTACTGCACCTGTTGTGAGCCATCCTAGAATAGTCCTACTGTACCTGTTGTGAGCCTTCCGAGAGCAGTCCTACTGCACCTGTTGTGAGCTGTCCTAGAGCAGTCCTACTGCACCTGTTGTGAGCCATCCTAGAGCAGTCTTACTGTACCTGTTGTGAGCCATCCTAGAGCAGTTCTACAGCACCTGTTGTGAGCCATCCTAGAGTAGTCCTACTGCACCTGTTGTGAGCCGTCCTAGAGCAGTCCTACTGTACCTGTTGTGAGCCGTCCTAGAGCAGTTCTACAGCACCTGTTGTGAGCCATCCTAGAGTAGTCCTACTGCACCTGTTGTGAGCCGCCCTAGAGCAGTCCTACTGTACCTGTTGTGAGCCGTCCTAGAGCAGTTCTACAGCACCTGTTGTGAGCCATCCTAGAGCAGTTCTACTGCACCTGTTGTGAGCCATCCTAGAGAAGTCCTACTGTACCTGTTGTGAGCCTTCCGAGAGCAGTCCTACTGCACCTGTTGTGAGCTGTCCTAGAGCAGTTCTACTGCACCTGTTGTGAGCCATCCTAGAGTAGTCCTACTGTACCTGTTGTGAGCCGTCCTAGAGCAGTTCTACTGCACCTGTTGTGAGCCATCCTAGAGTAGTCCTACTGTATCTGTTGTGAGCCTTCCGAGAGCAGTCCTACTGCACCTGTTGTGAGCCATCCTAGAGCAGTCTTACTGTACCTGTTGTGAGCCGTCCTAGAGCAGTTCTACAGCACCTGTTGTGAGCCATCCTAGAGTAGTAGTCCTACTGCACCTGTTGTGAGCCGTCCTAGAGCAGTCCTACTGTACCTGTTGTGAGCCGTCCTAGAGCAGTTCTACAGCACCCGTTGTGAGCCATCCTAGAGTAGTCCTGCTGCACCTGTTGTGAGCCGTCCTAGAGCAGTCCTACTGCACCTGTTGTGAGCCGTCCTAGAGCAGTTCTACTGCGCCTGTTGTGAGCCGTTCTAGAGCAGTCCTACTGTACCTGTTGTGAGCCGTCCTAGAGCAGTCCTGCTGCACCTGTTGTGAGCCGTCCTAGAGCATTCCTGCGGCATCTGTTGTGAGCCAGACTTTGAAAGCAGTGTCCAACAGACAATTAGTAAAACGCTGCAAGGGAATTGTAGGTGTCTACTCTGGGAGAATAAAACTGATTCTGGCTAGTTGCTGTGCGCAACAACAACAACAGTTTTTCTTTCAGGCACTTTTAAAAACAAGGTCCAGTGGCAATTCTACAATATATTCCATTTGTTAACATGTTTACATAACTTGACTCCTAGGTAAAAAACGTATTAATAAATAGTTAAATAGACCGAATAATCATCTTGACCTATATGGAGCTGGTATGATGTGTCTTATTTGTGTTCCTTGCAGCTTCAACTGGATCAGTGACTCAGGTCTCCTCAGTAAGCACAGACTCAGCAGGTTCTTCGTACTCGATCAGTGGAATTCTGGGAATTACATCATCTAATGCTGAGAGTAACAAACGCAAAAGAGATGAAGGTAATACATTTTGACTTTTGCCATGTTCTCTACTTTATGCAACAACTGCAGAAAGCAAACGTACTTTGTTTGCCAAACCATTTTCCATTTTACGCCTTCCCTGTAGATTAAGCTTAATGTTTAGGTTATTATCTGTCATATCTAAAGACAGTTCGTAAAATTCACAGAATAGCAGAAAATATGTTTGTTTTTGTTGTACTGCTTTCTTCAGAGCTGTATGCTTCTCCTTAAATAATTTGCAGATCTGTCTTCAGTTATGCACTACTTGCTTTTTATTTGCGCAACCACTTACTGGATAGTTAAGTAAGGTTTAAGTCACCAATGTGTCCAAACAGGATTTAAATGTGTTCTCTTCATATCAATTTTAGTAATTGTATCTTTGTATAACAACATGTAAATTTGCATATGTTGGTGCTTCATATACCCTACTAGAGTGGTTAGGCTGGTGTCAAAATTAACACATTAAATTAAAATTAAATTAGTTTTTCAATTATATATATATATATATATATATATATAATATATATATACACACACAATTTTGTTTAATTCTGCATACTGTATATCCTAAATAGACAAGACTGTCCTACACAGAAGAGAAAGCCAAATGACTACTCATTTACTGGAGACAATATTACGCCTCTGTTTTGTTATTCTGTTGATCAGAACTACTAGAGTTTATCAAAGGTGGAGCTTGATAGAGATGTTGTTTGTCCTATCATAGAACTGGGCAATTCAAACCAAGCATACTGTAATATTAGAAAAATGAAAGCCAGGGGCAGACTGACCATTTGGAAACTCGGGCACTGCCTGAGTGCTTGGGGTCAGTAGGGGGCCCCATGAGATGCCCCTGGTACCTTTTTCATAGGCTTTTTTGAGTTTGGGCAAGGACACAGGGGCCCAATGATCCCCTATTGCCCGGGGGCCTAATGAGTTTTCAGTCCGCCTCTGATGTAAGCAGATATCAAAGTATCAAAGACCAGATGTAAAAAAATGTTTAGTTTCAAATTGTTGAAGGTGCGTAACCAAAGACACGACTAGCCAAAAAAACAACTAACAGTAAACAACAGTAATGAAAACTTAAAGTTGATGGACATTGTAACAACAGAGTGGTAGCAATCCTTTATGGAACTGTGACATCCAGGGCCGGGACAAGGTGTGGGTGTGTGTGTGTGTGTGTGTGTGTGTGGGGGGGGGGAAGTTTGAAGGGACAGGAGCCCAGGGTGCAACAATTCACTTGGGGGTGCAGGGGGAGTGCAGAGATGATACAGTGCATTGCTGGTCAGCCTAAGGGTGGTTGTCGGCTAAATATGCACAGAGTACTCTTGCAGAGTTGTAGTGGAGTGCTGAAAGCTGGAGCATTCCCTGCGCTCCTCCAGTACCCTGCCGGCACTAGTCTAGCAGCCGTATATTAAATTTCTCTGTCAGGTGGAGTGATCTCTGCCCGACAGATAATGACTAGTTTCGGCGTCTGGTGTGACTTACTCAGAGGCCGGGACAAGAAGAGAGAGCGGCGCTGTTAAAGCAAGGGAGTGTTGGTTGAATTTAAGGTAAGCAATAATCTAACAAAAGTGGCTGTGCTTGACGCAAATGTATCAAAGTGACTTTGTAATAAGTCTGTTCCTGTGAACTGGACTGGTTAACTAATTAAAGGGTCAATTAGTTAAAGCCATTAGTCAGTAATATGCAGGAGGAAGGGGTTAATGTACTGCCACTAGTCAGTAATGCATTAGTGACCAGAGGCAGTTAATGAACCCCTTTGTGCTGTATTAGTGGCACCAGTGTCAGTGTAAATTAACCAATTTCTGCTGTAGCATGAATGGCTCAATAAACACTGCCACTGACCACAAATGCAACACAAAAGGGTTAATTAACACTGCCACTGCCCAGCAAAGGAGAAGGATCTTTTAATTAATACCACTGACCATCAGCCTTCACATATATGCGAGGGTGCTGGACTGCGTATAAACCACACACATTCCTTTACCCGCATGCAGCTGCATGGAAAATCAATCGGGTGCCATTAACCCTTAATGGCACCCCTGTGCACTGAAAAACAGTGTGGTTTGCCGCACACGGAAATTGCATGGTGCAAAAACACATTTTTAAAAAAAAGGTGTAGAGACTTTTCCTTGCAGAAAACACAGACACAGCAGCCCATTCAAATGAATGGGCTGCCATGCATACGCACCTGCGACACACACAGCCGCATATATATGAACTAGGCCTCAGTGCAGAAAGATTAACCACTTCCAAATCCAGGCCGATTCTAACATTTCTCACATGTAAAGTTCAGCATTTTTTTCACTAGAAAATCACTTAGAACCCCCCAAACATTATATATTTTCTGAAAGCAAAGGCCCTGAAGAATAAAATGGTGGCAATTACAAATTTTGTATGTCACACCATATTTGCGCAGCAGTTTATCAAACACAAATTTCCAGGAAATACACACTTTAAAAAATTTTAGCACACAGAAACACAAAATAATATCCAATTGTTTGTAAAATATAAAAGATGATATCCATAGGCAATACTATAAATGCCTTTATAGGTTACCAGTTTAGAGTTAGATCTGGAGGAGGTCTGGAGCTAGAATTTTAACTGCCTCATGACCACCCATCTGAAAAAGGAGATGCAGATGCTCAGGGCTGCACACTTGCCATAGCTTGATGTTTTGCTTCATGGCAAAATTAAATGGAATGGGGCCATATGGCAACTGTGTCAGTGGGTTAAAACAGGGGGGAGGAGAAATGTTTGGAATATGGCCTCCTCACAGCTTATCAAATGCCATCTGAAAATTAATTTGCCATTGTTTTTTATAGGGACAGAAATGATAGCCGCCCATTTGAATGAGCCCCTTTTCATCCTTCAAAGCTCCCCTAGATTCCTTTAGCTCTATGCACCCTTCAGAGCCCAGATCTTCTTCCCTCCTTCATCCTACTGACAGTCCCCTTCGGAGTGACATGCAGCGCCATTGTTTCTCTTCGCAACACCACTGACAGAGAGACATTTTTTCCTTCAGTTTGCTGCAGTATACTACAACTATTGGTACTATTTCAGCACATGCCACAAACAATACATTTTGCTCTGTGCAACCTGTTAGCCCCTCCCTCTCTGCCAGGGGGGGGGGCAGTTTGCCATCTTCGCCCTGGGCTCTGGATGACCTTGTCCCAGCACAGATGACATCTAGCTACTCTGTTTAAATTCATAAATTGCAGAACACAAGTCATAAGTTAACCCCTTGGCACCAACGCCTCCCGGCCCTTTAAGGGTTTCAGAAGCCGGGAGGTGGGGCGGGGTTTTAGGGTCATGTGACCGCCATGATTCACCGTCACGGCGGTGACATGATCGGGAAAGATCCCGATCGAAAGAGGAGATCGGGACCTTTCCATGAGCACCGGACATGTGTACTGGGAGCGTGCAGGGCGCGCTCTCTCAGCACATATGGTTTACAAATTTACAAATTTAAATGTGCGGTTGCTCGGGGGCAAGTTCCAGACGCTGGGAGGCTGTACATTTGCACGCAGCCGGCGCCAAGAGGTTAAAGTTACATTAAACCCTTAAAGGTACAAAAAGTACATCTTATTGTTCCTAGCCTCCTCCATAATCTTCAAATTCTGTTTTTGTTGCATTGATTTGATGTCCTGTTAGGCCTCATGCACATATGAACTCAGCTAGTTGTTACACTCTCCTGGCAGCAGAAAAACGGTAAACGTTGCAAAAACACATGTAAACGCAGTACCGCGTTTACCGCTTGGATGTTTATTCATTTGATTGCTCAGAGTATTTTCCATTAGCATGGATAAACGCCCAAGCACTAACTGCAGTTAGCTATGCTTACACGCATTTTTGCAGTGTTTAGCATTTTGTGGGCAAAACATTCCTCTTCTGAATGCGATTATCCTGCATTCAAAAGAGGAACTTTTAGCTGCCCCTTAACTCTGGTAAAAGCCTATGTGTACATGGACACGCAGGCTTTTATTGAGTTGATTTCAGAAGCAGCAGTGTACATGAGGCGTTAGAGGATGGCTACACTTATTCTCCATGGTCCCACTGAGCACCGCCATTACTAGTAAAAAAAAAAAAAAAAAATCCAGTATCTATACCACCATTTGTAAACACTATAACTTTCACTTAATCTAATTTACATGTATTGGGATTTTTTTTAGCAAAGACATAGCAGCAGGGGCGGACTGAGCATTTGGAAACTCGGGCACTGCCCGAGCACCCGGGGTCAGTAGGGGGCCCCATGAGATGCCCCTGGTATCTTTTTCATAGGCTTTTTTGAGTTTGGGCAAGGACACAGGGGCCCCATGATCCCCTATTGCCCCGGGGCCCCATGAGTTGTCAGTCCACCCCTGCATAGCAAATACATTTTGGCCTAAATTTATGACGAAATTTGATTTTTTTTACTGGACATGTTTAATAGCAAAAAGCAAAAAATATTTTTTTTTTCTCAAAATTGTCAGTCTTTTTTTTTTATAGCGCAAAAAATAAAAACCACACAGGTGATCAGATACCACTGAAAGAAAGCTCAATTCGTGGGAAAAAAAAGGATGTAAATTTAATTTGGGTGCAGCGTTGCATGACCACTCGATCATCAGTTAAAGCAACACAGCGCCGTAATGCAAAAAATGCCCTGGTCAGGAAGGGGGGTAAATCCTTAGGAGGGCAAGTGGTTAATGTGTTGTATACTGTATTTCCTTTAGATCAGTGACCTAAGCTCTAAAGCTAGAGGAGAAACATGACATGACTTTTTTCCCTTAATTTTCAGAAGTGGGCTATAGAAATCTGCATACTTCTTTCATGACTAGCACACATAATTTTGCAATAACATACATTTTCCTAAGCTACATATAGCTATAATGAGTAATAAAGCATATATACATTACTTAAGGGTTTCACAGTGTGTTCATTGCCATAGCATGTAAGTAGCATTAGAAAAGAACTTAATTTTGGTTTACGAAAAAATAAACTATATGGTATATAATAGTACAAGTGCAAGTAGCTTCACCTGCATAAAATAGTATGTGCTTCCTTGTCTTTTTAAACTGTTAAAAATGGGTTATAGTATATTGGCTGATCTTATATCATTATAATTGTACTTCTATCCTTTACACTGGTAACATAGTCGTGATGAATAATGCCTGATGTTAGTTCTAGGATTGTTCAGTGATGTTATACTGCTCAGTGAATAAAGGTGTGGGAGCAGTATAAAGTGCATGTTCAGTTATTAAACAGAGCTAAGGAGTGTGGAAAACGATATTCCAGCATAAATGAGCACCATTAATGTTCCTTGTAATTTTTTGTGGATTGCAATAGCACTTTTATATGCCAAAAAGATCCAAAAAGTTTTAGTCCATTACCCTTACATCTCATTATTAGTTAGATAAGGCTTGTTGAACAGATAATGACCTTGGAGGGCAGTAAAGTTTAATCATCCTGGTTGTTTTGTATTAGTAATGACTGCTTGACTCTAGCTTCAAAACATAGTCCTGCTTATTCTCTGTTTGAAATATGTGACAAATTCATGTTAGCAGGACACTTTAATGAATTTGTATGCTATGCGGTAACATGAAAAAAAAGATCTTTCTTGATAGTTTATTATAAATTGCCAGGCTACCTGAGTGACAGACATGCACTAACTCCCATGTGGCATGCTTGTTCAGCCAGGTAGTATATAAACTGATCATCTGAAACAATGAACGGGTATATTCAGCGCTCACACAATGATGAGATAAATAATAGTATATCAGTCCACAACAATAAATAGGTAAAGGACAATAAAAATGACTGCACAGAATTAGATGTGACAATGGCGTATCAAAAAAGTCCATTCATCCGAAAGGTATACAAAGTGGGGGAGGTGTGTACCTTGGGAACCGAAGCACACACGATAGGACCGGCAGCTCCTCGCCAACGATGTGGGGAATCCCTCAGAGACAAGCAAAAGGAAAAGCAGGGCGCCAGGTCAGCGTGAGTTAAAACATAGAGAGAAAAAAGGAGGCGCTAAAAACTAAGTGCAGATTATTGTTGTCACATTTAATGGATAGGTATAAAAACACTCACAAGTACAAAGATAAAATAAAGCTCATCTGTATAAGACCACTCTTCCCCATCCTGTAGGGTACCGCCGGGCAAGCCAAAGTGACAGCTGAAGCCGTAGGTGTAGTTGAGGGAATCTCCTCTGGGTATGTGGCTGAGCTGGAGCCGAACAACGGCGCCTGTATCCAGAAAATGGCCACACGACCAGCGTGGAACGTATCTTACGTCATTGGAAGTGAGGAGGGTCGATAGGAAGATCTTGGGAACACAGAACAGGCCTGGTAAATGTGACAACACAAGTTGGCCTTGCTCTATAGGATGGCAGCCATTAACCACCAAACACACCATTATACGGAGATTTTTATGGACTTTATTGATATTACCATTTGTGTGCCTATACCACTTATCATGGTTTTCTGCTAGTTCATGTTGAACTATACCACCTACCTTATCCTTTCTCCCCAAATTCCCCCCCCCCTTCCTTTTTTCCCCTCCCCTATTCCTTCTACTGTATTGGGGAGTTCCTGTGCGCTGAGCGCCAGATATTTTTCTGTTTTTAGTGAGATAAAACATAGAAGCTTTATTTTAAAATCACTTACATCTAAAACTCCCTCCGTCTGGCATTGCCAGTAGGTTAGGTAGCTCTTGGTGAAGTGCTATTTTTTTTTTTGCAAAAACAAGTGACCAGGGACAAATGTCACACATGATGAAATAAACATATCCCTAGCTCTTACCTGACCCCAACAATCAATTCTCACCCCAGCGCTAAACCTTAACCTGACCTATATAACTGACCCTTAATTCATTACTTGGCCCCTAACACTTACAGGATAAGTTCATCTTTGGGACAAAAATAATAAATGCACATTTTTTTTGCAGGTAAAAAAATGTGCATTTATTATTTTTGTCTACATGAGCCTGTAAAGTATTGCAACAGCAATCAGTAGATCGCTTGTGCCATACAGGTCTCCTGCAGACCTGTCAGAATATCTGCTTGTCGTATGGGATGTAGGAGCAAGCAGATATACTGACAGGAAGCTTCAATGAACTACCACGGCACTCCACAGCCCTGTGGTAGTTCATTGAAAACTACAAGCCAACTGCCGCTAAGGCTCTTGGGACTTGCAGTTCATTCATTCACTGAAGTCCATGAATGAGTGATGCAGCCGTGTCGGCGGAACCCCGCATGGCCGCACTGTTTTCAAATCTGACAGATAGTACAGGGAGACTTCTCCCCCTATTATCTGTCAGAGGGAGGGGGCGGGCGGCAGCTGCGGCTATGGGAACATGTTACATGTTCCACCCTAAAAACAGGTGGAACATGTAACACGTTCCAAAGGCGAATTTATCCTTTAAATGATAGGTAAATTTTTTTAGAACAAGTTATATGTTCCACCCGTATTTGAGGTGTGATATGTAACATGTTCTAGTTCCCCCCCTCAGTGTGACAACAGGCAGTTACTCTTCTCCCTGCACCCGCTGTCACATTTTAAAATGGCACCACTGTGGATCCTGTTCACAAAGCCTGTTTTGGGTGAAATGCACTGAGGCTAATTCAGTGGGATGAGCAGTTAGTCAAAGAGAGGATTTCCACTCAAAGCAGCACACAGACCTTCACCTATTGCTGGCAGCTTGTCTGGATGTGCATGTGAAGATCTGCGGCTTTGCTTTGTGAATGTAATGCTCTTGTAGCTGGTGCGAATGTGAGTAGATTTTATTTTTTTTTAATAGCTTGTGCAGGATTACACTATTTTGTTGCTTTTGTTTTTTGAATGGATTAACCTGTGGAGAGGAGAACCCTATGGGGTTGATTTACTAATACTGGCGTTTGCAAAATCTGGTGCAGTTCTGCAAGGAAACCAATCAGCTTCCAGTTTCTTTTTTTTTTTTTTTTGCAAAAGCTGAATTGAACACAGCTGCAAAAGATTTCGCACTCTCCAGTTTTAGTGTAAATCAACCCCTAATTCTCTATGAGAATTACAAGACCGCTCCAGTGAGGAGAGTGTAATGAATCTGTATTTGCCAATCTGTTGCCAGATAAGCAATCAGTTTTTTGGTGAGTGAGTTTCTGTTGGGAAAGAGATCACAGACTTTCACCTAGAGCACCTATATTGTGGTTTTTGTATAGTTGCTGGAAGAAATGAACTTTATTGCATGAACTTTTCACAGTGTACAATTTTTTATAGATTATTAATTGACTATATGAAAACCAATCAGCGCAAACAAAAAAAGATAAAAAATACAAAATATTGCAAGTTGAACACTCAAGGCACAGTCCACAATACTACCAAGAAGCGCTTAATGAAAATGTGCAACAATATGCTATCTAAAACCAATAATTAAATGTGCAAGAATTTCTAAATAATTTATTTAGAATTGCAACAATTACCCTTGGTGGTGGGATTTTTTTTATTTATTTATTTATTTATTTATTAATTCTTTCACATTTAATTATTGGTTTTAGATAGCATATTGTTGCACATTTTCATTAAGCACTTCTTGGTAGTATTTGCAAATCTGTGTTTTGCTATCTTATGCATCATAATTTTTTTTTGTCTGTGTTTTTTTCTGTGAAAAGTAAAACATTAAGGCTTTTTTATATTCCATGACCATGGAATATTGCAGAGCTAGCTAAATGACACCCTGGGCAGCTGGGTCTCCTGCAGCCCCCCTTTCTGCTCATCCTGGCCCTTGTGGGTAGCATGCTACTATCCGATGGAGAGTGAACTTTTCCAGTTTGCAGATTCCAGACTGTAACAAGTCAGAAGTGCCGTAAGACTTCCAAGGGCTGCACTGGTACAGACGATGCAGAATGCACACTGAATATACAGCTGGGAAAGCATGTTCTGATTCTGAATTAGCCGCTAGAGGGATACAACTGTGGCCACACTTCACTATCACTGCATCTAGGGGAAATGCTTGGTTCCACATTGAACTAATAATCAGCAAATCATTGCAGAATAATTAATTGATTGCTGTGCATAGGAGATCTGGGTGCTTCCACGTGGGCTGTGCTATTCCAGACACTTACAGTACCTTCTGATCGTTGAGTTTATGCAGGGTCTCTTTCCTGGAGGAGTATCGACCTCCATACCTTGGTTATCCAATTTAATGTTGCCCTGGTCAGACTTTTCCTGAATCTGAGTATTCAGCACTACTCTTTCTGTCACCCCTCTTCCCCGATACATTATGAGTCAAAATTTATTGTAGAGCCATTGTAGAGCATCCTCCCATACTTCAACTGAGGCTCTTGGTCTTTGGACTCATTTGGACTTCTATTTGAAGTGACAGGTCCCAG